CCGCCGCCGTGCCCCCGGCCGGGCGCCCCACGTGCCCCTCGCCGCGCCCCGTCCGCCCGCCCCCGGCCTGAGGACCCGATGCCAAGATGGCGGCGCCCAGCGGAAGGAGGGACGGCAGCAGCGCGAGCCTGTGGGCCGCCTTGCTCCTGGCGGCTGTGGCGCTGAGCTCGGCGGAGGCGGTGTCCGAGCCCACGACGGTGGCGTTTGACGTGCGGCCCGGCGGCGTCGTGCACTCTTTCTCCAAGAGCGTGGGTCCGGGGGTACGTGCCAGCGCCGCGCCGGGCATCTGAGCGACGGACGGTGCCGGTTGTCGGGGGTGACCGAGGAGGGGGCGCTCGCCGTTGGAGGCGGGGTCAGCCCTGGGGCTGGACTGAACTTACAGGAGGCGGGGCCTCCTGGGGGACGGGCGGCTGAGGGGGCGTGGCCTCCAGCCTGAGTCTCACCTCTCACCTGCTCAGCGTCCCGGCAGTCCCGTCCCCCAGACCCAGAGGTGGGGAGAGGGGAGTGATGGGAGCGGCGGGAGGCTGAGGGGTGTCCCCCAGTGCACGGCCTGCGGGAGGTCAGTGGCTGCCGCTGTGACTAGGAAGGAAGGACTCCTTCCTTCTACTGCACGAGGTCGCGAATCATCGAGGGTGGGAGGCCACGCCCTCCTTACCTGGAGGCAATAAGGCCTGGGTCTAGCTCAGCTCTGTCCCCAGCTTGTGGGAAAAGTCCCTTCCTGTCTTAGCCACCCTGTCTCTGCCTATAAGAGCCTTGTCAGTAATTGCTGCTTGTTGAGTACTTCCGTGTAGCCAGCTATGGTGCCACGTGCTTCCTCAGTTGGGTTCATTTTCACGTGAGGAAATACAGCTTAGAAAGGTTTTCATTTGTTCAGGGTCCCCAGGTGTTCCGGGGTGGGTGGGTGCTGGAGCCCCCCCTTCCTGTTCTTCCCCCAGAAGCCATGTAGGTTGTTGGTCCTGACCCAGGAGCTCAACAGTAGGGAGACAGGCAGGGGACTTAAAGGTCTGCAACCACTGGGAGGCCTTGCAGGGCTGGCCTCCAGGGACATCAGCCAGAGGGATCTCACTCTACCTATGTCCCTCTTAGTACAGATGCTCAAAAGGAACATCCCTGAGTCCTGAGACCCTGCACCTTTAGCACTAAGGATTACCTCCTACTGAGCCTGCTTTTTTCTTCCATTCTCTAGGACAAGTATACGTGTGTGTTCACCTATGCTTCTCAAGGAGGGACCAATGAGGTGAGTTGTTCAAAATTCCACATAGCTTACTACGATAATATCCGTTGTCATACAGAGACGCTTCCCAGAGGACAGTGGGGTTGGGTCCTAGGTGCATCATCTTATACTCATTGAACTGTGTTTGTTTAACCAAAAGAAGGGAGAGTGCTCATGTTAAATAGTGACAACAGATTCTGCTCTCGTTATTTCACAGAGCAAGAAAATGTGTGGACAAAAGGAAGGATGTGAGATATAAATCTGCTGGTCCCATGAGCCTCTATTAGGAGTGTTATATTCGTTTGCTGTGCTGTGTTATGAATTACTACAAGCTTAGCATCTTAACACATCATCCATTTATTATCTCCACAGTTCTGGTTTTGATTTTTTGGTATTTTTGGGCAGCTGGCCGGTAAAGGGATCTGAACCCTTGACCTTGGTGTGTTATAAGGCGGCACTATAACCAGTGAGCTATCTGGCCAGCCCTGTCTCACAGTTCTGGAGGTCAGAAGTCCAGGTCGGCTCAACTGGGTGCTTCATAAAGCCAAAATCAAGGTGTCGTTGGTCCAGGCTCTTAACTGGAGGACCAAGGGAAGAATCCTCTTTCAGACTCTTTCAGGCGGTTGGCAGAATTCGATTCTTTGCGGTTTTAGGACCGAGCTCCCTGTTTTCTTGCTGGCTCTTTTCTCCAGCACGTGGTAGTAGAGCAAGTGAGAGGGATTCAAAGTATGAGAAGGACATGTGTGCTGTTGCTGGCTTGAGGGAACCACATGGCAAGGAATGCAGGTGGCCTTTGGGAACTGAGAGTGGCCCCTGGCTGGCAGCAAGGACACCAGGGCTTCAGTCCTTCAGCCACAAGGAACTACAGCCACATGAACTTGAAAGAGGACCCCAAGCTCCAGATGAGAACACAGCCCAGCCAACACCTTGATGTTAGCCTGTGAGACTGAGCAGAGGACCCAGCCACACCGTGCCAGGATTTCTGACCTACCGAACTGTGAGCTAATAAATGGATGGTAATTTGTTACACAGTGTAGTGGGTTGAATTGGTGGCCCCCAAAAAGATAGGTCCACGTCCTAATTTCCAGAACTTGTGAGTGTGATCTTATTTAGATAAAACATCTTTGCAGATGTAATTAAGTTAAGGATCTTGAGATGAAGACATCATCCTGGATTATCTAGGTGGGCCTTAAGTCCAGTGACAGTGTAGACACACAAGGGAAATTTGATAGACAGAAAAGGAGAAGACACACAGAGGAGAAGGCCATGGAAGATGAGGCAGAGATTGGAGTGATGCAGCCACAAGCCAAGGAGTGCTTGGAGACACTGGAAGCTGGAAGAGGCAGGAAGGATCCTACCCTGGCACCTTCAGCCGGGACACAGCCCTGCCACCTTGATTTCGGACTTCTGGCCTCGAGGACCGTGACAGCATAAATTTCTGTTGTTGTAAGCCACCGAATTTGTGATAATTGGTTACAGCAGCCCCAGGAAACAAATACACACAGTAATAGAAAACTAATACAGTTAGTAACACACCATTACAAATAAACACTGCGAGTGAGGCGCTTTTATTAAATTCTAGCTAGATATTGCTGATTGGTTTTGTCTGGAGGGAGAGTAGTGAGAGTTCGAGAAGAAGCACAAGGTAGGTTTTCTCCTTACAGTGAGGAGGACGAATGAGAGAGGCTGGCCGGTTGGCTCATGTGGGAGAGCGTGGTGCTGTGAATACCAAGGTCAAGGGTTCAGATCCCTTTAGCGGCCAGCCACCAAAAGGAAAGAAAGAAAGTGGAAAAGAAGAATTGTTACTACAGAATACAGAAATCAGGAAAGACATTTTTCATATTCCTAGTCACGCTTTCCTCTCCCACACTCAGATTTTAGGAAACACTACTCCAATTCCAGAACATTCTGTGGCGCTGTTCCATAATAACGTAGTGTGGAGGTGGAGGCTTCCTGGGAGTGCCTCGCGTGCCCACCACTGCTGGCGGGCATCCTCAGAGCAGTGCCAGCTCCCAGCGGGCTGCTTCTGAGGCCGCCTCCTTCTCTCCCACTCAGGAAAGCACATTGAAGTGGGCAAGAGAGGATATTGGGGCTGGATCCTTCTCTGGGGTGGGGCGTCCTGGGCACCACAGGGTGTTGAGCAGTGTCCCTGGCCTCCACCCACTCCATGCCAGGAGCACCCCCCAGTCATGACAACTGCAGATGTCTCCAGACATCTCCAGGTGCCCACTTGGGTATGAAATTGTCCCTGGTGGAAAACCACTGGGCTAGGGTGATATGAAATTCACTTTTGTTGTTTTAGGTATACCCAGTTGGAAAATAAAAGTAAATGATTCCTGTCTTAGTCCGTTTGGGCTACTGTAACAAAGTGCCCTACTGGGTGGCTTAAACAACAACATTATTTCTGACAGTTCTGGAGGCTGGAAGCCTGAGATCAGGTTCGCAGCAGGGCCGGGTTCTGGTGAAGACCCTCTTCCAGGTTGCAGGCAGCCACCCTCTCGCTGTGTCCTCACATGGTGCAAAGAGGGCTGGGGAGCTCCCTGGGGTCCCCTTCATAAGGACAGTAATTCAATCCGTGAGGGCTCCACCCTCATGACCTAATTACCTCTCAAAGCCCCCACCTCCTCGTACCATCACCTCTGGGGTTCAGATTTCACCATAATGAATTTTAGGGGGACACACATTTAGCCCCATGCAATTTGCAACCTCAAGATTTTAGCAGAGTATAGCAAATGACACTGCCTCACCCTCCCAGCACTGCCAGGGTGTCACAGACCTGCTGTGGAATGTCGCTGCCGCCTTTGTGCGACCGTCCCCTTGACCCCTGGGCAGGGGATGTCCTGGGATTGTCCGTCCTTTCCTTCAACACCTCCAGGCCTCGCTCCTCCAAACCATCTCCTCCACTGCAGGATGGCGCCGGCACTGAAGCATTCTTCCTGTTAATGAGCCGCAGCTCATGGTCCACCCTGCCCCCTAGCAGCTCCAGAGTGAGTCTAAACGGGTCCTCTTCCACGTGTCAGCCCTGAATAGGCTGCTTGGGTCGTGTAGATAATCGATTTACTGGATAGTAATCACATCACCGCACCACTGACGTGACATCGACCAAGTGCCCCTTGCGGTGTGAAGCCACCTACACCTCTCAGTCCATCCTCACCCCACCCCAGGAGGTGGGCACCTTTCTGCTCTTACCATCATTTCATGCACGAGGACGCAGGGCCCAGAGGCTGAGTAAGACCCAAGCTGCCACAGCTGTGAAGTGACCGGAGTCCCCAATGCACAGGCCGCTGACTACCACAGACACCGTATGATCCCACTCAGGTGACATTTTGCAGGGACTAAGATCAGAGCAGTGTCACCAGTTTTCAGGAGGGAATTGACTCCAAAGAGAACCAGGGGGATATCTGAGACGATGCAACGATCTGTGTCTTGACTTGGTGGCAGATACACACTGTATGTGTTTGTTGAAACCCATAGAACTGTAACTGTAATATGTTATTTGTAACATAATAAAAAGTAGTAGTGACTACCATTTATACATTACGTACTCTGCTGGGCTGCTTATAATCTTACCAGCCCTAGCCTTACAGATAAGCCTACAGGCTAGATCGAGCAGGTTGCCCCAAAACACACAGCTCCTAAGAGTGTCTGATACCAAAACCTGAGCCTCACCATATCAAAACCTCTCCCTGCATCTGTGAGACCAAGGTCAACTTTATGTAATGAGAGAACCACTCAGAGAGATGTTGAGTCTATTAAGAAGCTCTTTTTATGTTCATAATTTTTTTTAATGTTTAAATATTTGACTCATTTTTCAGAACATTTTAAGAGCTATGGTAAATCTTCCCAGATACATTTCACAAAATAAACCTGTTTCCTGCTGCCCAGAAGCCTCGGAGTCACCGACAGGTGTCTCTAAATGGAAAAAAATATGCTAAGTGGCAGGTCCCTTGTCAAGCAGGTATAATTGGTGCCTATATTTGCTCACAGGCAAAATGCCTCTAAGTGACCATTTACTCCCATTGTAATTAACATAAAAATGGCCTTGTTTCTATTAATGAAAAAGCTCCCACATTAAACCAGCAACACCAATCATCAGACTCCATTATTACCCTTGGGAGAGGACTGGAAACTCGTATTTTACTAGCAACACGTAGAAATTGCCCGGGGCAACCAGAATACAACAGTAGGTTTTCCATTTCCATGTGGCCATGTTTTCAGAGGCCCTGAAAATTGGAATAAGCTGGTGGTAGTGTGATTTGGAGCCATTTAAAAATTTTAAGTTCTATGAAAAGCAAACACATTCACATTGCTCAAAAAAAGTAAAAGGTATTAAAAAGTTTGTGGCACCTTCCTTGGAAACAAGGTGACTAAAACCTTGTGTCTTCAAGATCTTTTTTATGCTTATATAAGCAGGCGTGAGTATATTGTCTTCCCTTTTCTTTTTTTTCTTTTTTTTTTTTTTGTCCTTTTTGAGACCGGCCGCACCGCGCTCAGCCAGTGAGCGCACCGACCATCCCCATATAGGATCCGAACCCGCGGCGGGAGCGCTGCTGCCCTCCCAGCGCCGCACTCTCCCGATTGCGCCACGGGCTCGGCCCCCTTTTCTTATTCTTAATAGACTGTTTTTCCAAGCAGTTCTAGGTTCCCAGCAAAATTGAGCAGAGTACAGAGATCACCCGTATCCGCCCCCCACAAACACAGCCTCCTGTTCATCACATCTGATGAGCCTCCGTTGACACGTCACTATCACCCAGAGTCCACGATGTCTGTCAGGGTTCACGCTGGCTGGTGTACGTTTTATGGGTTTGGATGAATGTGTAATGACGCGTGTCTTCCAATATAGAATGGTACAGAGCAGTGTCACTGCCCTAAAAATCCTCTGCCCTCTTCCTGCTCATCCCTCTCTGCCCCCCAATTCTTGGCAACCATCAATCCTTTTACTGATCTTTTTTCCTTTTCCAGAAGGTTCTACAGTTGGAATTATACAGTATCTAGCCTTTCTAGATCAGCTTCTTTCACTTAGCAATACACGTTTAAGATTCCTCCATATCTTTCTGTGCCTTGATAATTTATTTCTTTTCAGCACTGAATAATATTGTTGTCCACATATACCACCGTCTGTTTATCCATTTACCTACTGAAGGGACATCTCGGTTGCTTCCAGTTTTGGACAGTTATGAATAAAGCTGCTGTAAAAGTCCATGTGTGGGTTTTTGCAGGGACATAAGTTTTCAGCTGCTTTGGGTGAATACCAGGGACTGTGACTGCCGGATCCCGGGATAAGAGCACGTTCTGTTTTGTTTTTCCTTCTTTTTTTCTTAAGTGATACCTTCCTGTCCTCGTGGTTCTGCTCTGTGCTGTTTTATGTGACGGTGTACCCTACGTCAAGTGCCCCCTCCGTCCCTTTGCACAGCTGCGTGGCATTCTGTTGCTTGGATGTGCATAGTTGATTTAAAGTCCCGCACTCATGGATATAGGGTTGTTGCCTGTCCAGTCCGTGAATAACCTTGGACATGGTTCATTGTGCTGGTGCGGTTCTATCTATGGGAAAACTGCCCAGACATGAAATTTGAGTTAAACTTTTTTTTTTTTCCTTTTTGTCTTTTTTCGTGACCGGTAACGGGATCGCAACCCTCAGTGTCGCGCCCGCACCGCGCTCAACCAGTGAGCTGACCGGTCTCTATATGGGATCCGAACCCTTGGCAGGAGCGCCGCCGCGCTCCCAGGCACCGCACTCTACCGAGTGCGCCACCGGGCCGGCCCTTGAGTTAAACATTTTTATTTTGAGACCACTGTAGATTCACGTTCAGTTGTAAGAAATCATACAGAGAGATCCCAAGTACCCTTTCTCCAGGTCCCTCAGGGGCAACCTCTTGCAGGGCTGTAGTCAGTATCACAGCCAGGACGTTGACATCTACACAGTGCAGACTCAGAACAGTTCAATCCCCACAAGGACCCTCTACTGTCCCCTCTTTGTACCCAGCCCCTCCTCCTCCCTGTTCTTAGTTCCCTGTGTTTTTCTTTTTGATCATATCTGTTACAGCTGGTTACCTTCTCCTACACCCCACACGGTATGTCAGCAAACCATGGGCCTTTTTCCCTTCTAACCCTTGAGAATGAAACTGGACATTGTTCCCATATGTTTAAGAGTCATTCACGTTTCCCCATATGTGGGAGCTGGTTTGGGGTGGTTCTCTCTTTTTTTGGTGGCTGGCCAGTATGGGGATCCAAATCCCTGACCTTGGTGTTATAACACCATGCTCTAACCAACTGAGCTAACCGGCTAGCGCTGGGGTGGTTCTCAGGAGAGGCACCCTGTTTGATGTCAAGGACGTGGGATGGGCAACTTCCCTAGCCGCAGGCTGCAGAGAGGGCAGGGCAGGGGATTTGGTGAGCTGTCTCTGAGCCAAGGCAGGAGGTATGGGGAGGTCTGCTAGCCCTGTGGCATAGGAAGTGAACTGAGAAGACCCAGTGAGAGCCCTGCGTCCTGGGCTGGCCCTGCGTCCTGGTCTGACCCGTGCCTGTCTTCTCTCCCCAGCAGTGGCAGATGAGTCTGGGGACCAGCGAAGACAACCAGCACTTCACCTGTACCATCTGGAGGTGAGTGCGTGTCCCGGGTGTAGGATTTCCTGGTTGCTGCTGGTGGTTGCTGGGCAGCAGGGAAAGAGAGGTGCAGAGGACCACAGCCAGGTTTGCACCCCTACAGGAGAGGACAGGCCAGCGGGGCAGACATTGTGCACATGCACACGGGAGGGGCTTCCAAGCTGTGCTGGGGTAGGGGGTGGGGAGGGATCCTCAAGGAAGTGTGTTGACACCGGGGCCAAAAGGGGTCTGGGGGAGGAGGGGGAAGAGCGGGCCAAGCAAAGAAGCTCAGAAGGGCCAGAGCACCAGGAGAGGTGGGCTGGAGAGGGCCCAGTAAGCCTGGGAGCCTCCACCCTACCCTGAGGGCAGCAGGAAGTCATCAAAGGGCTTTTTTGGCAATTTTTAAAAACTGAGGGTCTGGCTGGTTAGTTCAGTTTATTAGAGTGTGGTGCCAGTAACACCAAGGTCCAGGGTTCGATCCCTGTACTGGCCAGCTGCCTTAAAAAAAAAAAAAAAGAAAAATTGAAATGAAATTCCCATAAAATGGAACTTTCTGAAGTGCACGATTCAGTGGCATTTAGTACATTCACAAGTTGTGCAACCACCGCCACTGTCTAGTTCCAGAATATTCCATCACCCCAAGAGGAAACCTTGTCCCCATCAGCAGTCACTCCCCCCTCCGCTCCCCCCACCAGCCCCTAGCGACCACGAGTCCACTTTCTGTCTCTGTGGATTGGCCTGTCCTGGACGTTCCATATAAATGGAGTCACACACTGTGTGGCCTTCTGTCTTTGGCGTCTGTCACTGCATGTGACGTGTTCAAGGTCCATCCATGTGGTAGCGTGTGTCAGAGCCTCATTCCTGTTCATGGCTGAGTGATGTTCCAAAGAGCTTCAAGCAGGCACACACCATGCGCAGGTCCTCAGGCTGACGGAGGCGGGCCTCGGGCTGGAGGCCGGGAGCCAGCGGGGGACTGATGAGGGAGGGGGTGTGGGACGGAGGAGCAGGCAGGTCAGAGCTGATGTGGGGAGGGGACAAGGTGGGGAGGGTTAGCGGGGCCTGTGGGGACCCCAGCATTCTCCCATAACACTGCCTTGGGTCCAGTTTGCCTTCAGGTGGTTCTTTCAACAGAATGTTCTTTCTGAAGGAACAGAGTGATGGTTTGTAACCTTTTGCAGGCCACAGACCTCTGGGAATCAGACAAAAGGGCACACTTCCCACCAAATGCCCAAACATACGCAGGCCACAGTGTCTGCATGCAAGTCCGCAGAGTCCACAACCCCCTCCCAAGTCCGCCCGTGGTGTGGTGTGGACAGCAGTTCCTCATGCAAAGATGACACACAGATTCACGCAGCGGAACCCGCTGCTTATGGCATGCCCCCTCTGAGGTGTCCCCAGAGGCCGGCTGCCCCTGGATCCTGCCCCTCTCGCCATCCTCAGTGAAGTTCGTGGCTAACGGGCTTGACTCTGTCACGCGGCTGTTTGCCTCTTGTAGTCTCACTGCCTCCGTAAGTGAATGGGGCATCTGAGATGGGGTGCGGGAAAGGAAGCAGTCAGCCCTCCAGTGGGATGGAGGGTCCCAGAGCTTCATGGGACCTCGTCCCTTCTCCCCTGGGCTCCACAGCCCCAGAACGTCTGGACCTAAGCAGCGTACGCTCCTTGAGCATTTATTTTGTGCCTTTTCTAGCATAGTCACTTTGGCGGGGTATGAAAGAAGTCCAGGCCGGGAAGCAGTCAGCCCTCCAGTGGGATGGAGGGTCCCAGAGCTTCATGGGACCTCGTCCCTTCTCCCCTGGGCTCCACAGCCCCAGAACGTCTGGACCTAAGCAGCGTGCGCTCCTTGAGCATTTATTTTGTGCCTTTTCTAGCATAGTCACTTTGGCGGGGTACGAAAGAAGTCCAGGCCATGTTCCCACCCTTAGGGGCTCAGGGGTTAACACGGATTAACAAATGGGGGCAATTAGGTAGCACCGAATGGCGACATTTAATTAAAGGACACAGTGGATTGAATAACATTTGTAGGCGTTGGTTCACAGTCTCCTGCTCTGTGCTTTACAAACAGCAGGTGTTTACTAAGTAGCTTGCAGGGGCAGGATTCTCACCTGCTCTGTGGGACTGGCCTGTGTCGTGGGCAGGCAGAATCTACTGCAGAGGCAAGGAGCCTGGGGGGCCACGGGAACCCTCAAAGCCTGGACCTGCTAGGTACAAGGAACCCCCGCGGTCTGCACCCCCCTCTCTGCAGATCCCTGCCTCGTGTGGCCCCCCAGGTAGCATCTGGGTGGGTGCAGACACAGGCCATGCAAGCCCAAAGCAGTTGGGACCTGGATCCTCTTACCTGACCCACCTACAGGCTCCCCAGGAACACACTCAGTCCCAGAGACCTGCTGACCGCGGGGCCACTGCTCAGTCTAAAGGAGGTTGAACCTCGGTGACCCCAGCCTCCAGATCTCAGACCTTGACTTATGTCCATTGACTGGGCCTGCTGGCAGCTGCTGGGGCATAGAGAATAATCTGGGGGCGCCCCTGACCCACGTGCACCACCCCCTTGCTGGGGCTCCTGCAGAAGTGGCTTCCCTGGCCGCCGTCCCCCCGTCTCCAGCGCCCCTTCACAGTCTGCTCTGCACAGGGCCAGGCGGAGCTCTTCACACCAAAGGCATCATCGTGCCCCCTCTTTTTTTTTTTTTTTTTCCCCTTTTTGTCTTCTTTACTGACCGGCAACGGTATCGCAACCCTCGGTGTTGGCGCCCGCACCGCGCTCAGCCAGTGAGCGGGAACCAGTCTCCACATGGGATCCGAACCCTTGGCGGGAGCGCCGCCCTCTACCGAGTACGCCACCAGGCCGGCCACCTCTTTCTGTTTTGACCACACTGAACTTGCCATCCCTTAAATGCCATTTGCACCCTCCTGGGGACCCAGGTGGGTGCTTTTCCCCCAGCCGTGGACAGTTCCCCGTCCCTGCCTGTCTTCCTAGTTGGGATGCAAGCACAAAACCCACTGCCCACAGCCTGGGTCCCAAACTGGGCTATTTCCAAGGCATGGACCCAGCCCCGCCAGTCCTGGCCTGAGCCCTCACTGCCCATCCTTACTTTGCAGGCCCCAGGGGAAGTCGTACCTGTACTTCATGCAGTTCAAGGCCGAGGTGCGGGGTGCCCACATCGAGTATGCCATGGCCTACGTGAGTAGTGGCTCAGAGGCCCCAGACCAGGGGCAGGTGGGAGGTCACTGAACCCTCTAGAGGGTGATTTTATAACTTGGAAGAATATGGTACACTGCTCCATGGACCCCCAGGCCTGGAGACGCCAGGGGAGAAGGAGTTTGGTGGCTAGAGAGGGACCCAGCTGACCCCGAGTGACGCAGCGGGTGGAGCAGGAGGAGGTGGACACACTGGCCTCCCCCGCCTTCCACAAGGGGTGCCCAGGTGGTTACCAGAGCCCACGCTTCTACATTTGGGTCAGAAACATTTGGAAACCACTTGTCCAGGTTCAAGCAGAGATAGGCATTAAGAGCTAGGAACTGGCTTCGCCGCAGGGGACGGGCTGGGCAGTCCGGACTCTGCGTGGCAGACAGCAGGAAGGGCTGGGCTCTCTGCTCAGTTCTTCCTCCGCAGGGAAGCCTCCGCTCCACTCCGGAGGCCTTGCAGCTGATCGAACCAGGTCCACCCAGATCATCCAGGATAATTTCCTCCTCCCCTTAAAGCCAACTCATGGTGGACTTTAACCACATCTGCAAAATACCTTCATGGCAACAGCCACAAACGTCGCTGGACAATTGCAGACACATCAAATTGACCATCTCACCATTGAACTGATGGCTCTCTGGGGTCCCTTCTTACTTTCAAACACTATAATTTTGGCTGACTGAGAGACACAATTTCGATTTTTTAAAATTACATTTTTTTTAATTGGTGGCTGGCTGGTATGGGTATCTGAACCCTTGACCTTGGTGTTACGACACTGTGCTCTAACCAACTGAGCTAACCAGCCAGCCCTAAAATTACATTTAAGAGATTGCCATGCTGTGTCACTTCCGTAAATTACTAGCTGAAAGGAAAAAAGTTGGTTTAAATACCTTGCTCCTTGGCTGGCTGGTTAGCTCACATAGTTAGAGAGTGGTGCCGATAACACCAAGGTCAAGGGTTCAGGTTCCTGTACCTACCAGCTGCCAAAAGAAAATCTTCCTCCCAGGATTTGTGCTGGGGACATGAATTTTAAGCCAATGACGAGAGTGGTGCCGATAACACCAAGGTCAAGGGTTCAGGTTCCTGTACCTACCAGCTGCCAAAAAAAAATCTTCCTCCCAGGATTTGTGCTGGGGACATGAATTTTAAGCCAATGACAGTCTCTTAAGTAGGTTAATCAACCCATCTCTGTTTATTCTCTTTTACATGCTGGAAAAAGTATCACCTGCCTCTTTAGTAAGAGCACATGGCTTTCATCTGTGCCTCTCTAGACAGCAAACGGGATCGTTTTCTGCCTGATTAGACGGCTCTAGTAAAGTTTCCACTTGTTCTCTTTCAGTCTAAAGCTGCGTTTGAAAGTGAAAGTGACATTCCCCTGAAAAATGAGGAATTTGAAGTGACCAAAACAGCAGGTACATAAAGATGGATTGTAGAGACAGAACGGAGGAGGTGGCTTGAGAGGGGACGACACCCCCATCAGAGGGCGATCAGGGTGGCTTGAGAGGGGGCTGCCATAGGATCCTCAAGATCATAGACCAGGTGTCTGCAGACTGTTTCTATAGAGAGCCACAGAGTGAATATATGCAGCCTTGTGGGGCATGAGGTCTCTGTCACACTACGTAACTGCCATGGAGGGCAAAAGCAGCCACAGAGTGCCACTGAGACTTTCAGATGATTTTCCCATATCACAAAACATTTTTCTTTTGATTTCTTTTGTTTTTTCGAGATTTTCTTTTTTAAGCTATTTAAAAATGTAAAAACCACCCTTAGCACATGGGCCCTACAAAGGTGGGCGGCAGGCCATACCATACCGGTCCCTGCTGTAAAACTGATCGTGCAAAAATTCACACTCGGAGCTGTGTGTCCCTCAGGGACTTTGGCAGGCAAGCTGCATAGAGGCAGGAGGGTCTGTGAGACATCTGCACAGCCCAGCTATCCTGGGCTCTGTGACTAAGAACGGCTGGGGTGCTGTAAAGTAGAAAGCACAGCTTAGCATTGAGGTTGGGACCACGGTGTGCTAGGGGAGGCCAGGGGGTCACCAGGCAGCATCAGGGTCCTCCTGAGATCATGTGAACTCACCTGCCTGACTGTGTGTTTTTTCCTCTCAGTGGCCCACAGGCCCGGAGCATTCAAGGCTGAGCTGTCCAAGCTGGTGATCGTGGCCAAGGCATCCCACAATGAGCTGTGACCAGCAGCCCCAGCGAGGGAGGATGGTGTTTCCCCATCTCCACCGAGGGAGCCCGCAGCCCTGAGAGGGCTGGTGCATTACTGGTTTTCTAGGGAGGCTATGAGTTTTCTGCCCTGGCTGATGTTGCCCTGTTCGGAGGGGTTCACAGAGCAGCCTAGGCCCCCCAGGGCAGAGTCCAGGGGGTCAGAGGATCTGCCCAGCCCCTCTCCTGGCTCCCCGACATCCTCCCTGTCCCCACTCCCTGCCACGTTCTTCTGAACTCGGGGTGCAAGTCTGAGACCCAAGGAGGGTGGGAAATGAGGGGGGATCGGGCTCTTCTGAAGCCAGCTTGTGTCTTCTCATGGGACCTGGCCAGGAGAGCGATCATAGTCCCCCCACCCCTAGCCAAGTGCCCTCTGAGCACCTCCAGGACTGTTTTCTTACGGTTTACCCAGGGGACCTTTCAGATTAACTGGGAAGAGATGAAATGTTCTTTCATATTTAAATAAATAAGATGATTAAAAAGCAGCCACATAGACTGGGCCTTCCCACCTGGGCATCTGTGTAGAGGCTGGGGATGGCCACCCCCAGGTCCTTTCCCTGCTCTCCCTGACCTGGGGGTTAGTTTTGGTTAGTTTTTTGAAGCTGGATTGCAGCCCGGTGACTTTTAAGAAAACAAAAACAGGTTAGAGTGTGCTGCTGATAACACCAAAGTCCAGGGTTCGATCCCTGTACTGGCCAGCCACGAAAAAAAAAGAAAATGAAAACATCCACAGGCAAACAAACATAAATAACTACAAGCCCCAAAATGCCCCAGCCACTCTGAAGGGCCTTGGTCTCCCAGCAGCAGGACCTGGGAGTCTGACCCCAGAGCTTCGACCTCCAGCCTGACCTCTGACTGCGTTCTTTCAGCAGCAAACCAGGAGAAAAGCCACCGTGTCACCCTCCCTGAGCTCCGGGCTACCTGGCTGGAAGGCAGGGGTGCCACTGACAATCATGGCGTTGGGACTGATGGCAGCTGGGAGGGGTGCTGCTGTCCCCCCACTTCCCAGAAGAGAAACAGGCCAAGGTCCCACACCTGGAAGACGCAGAGTGAGTCTCCCACCCTGTTGACACTTGCACCTTGTCCTGCTGCGGGAACTGGAATAATGTTATCAGAACCAAGAGTGAATGGGGAGGGGGCTGGGGCTCTAGTCAGCCAGCCTTAGCTTCCCAGCATGTGCTCGAGTGCCTCCTGAAAAGGGAAGTTCCCAAGCTCATCGATGGGACGGGCCCCCTGACCCCCTCAAAGCGGGGCTTTGAGGTCTGGGGAGCACCGTCATCTGCCAGCGTGTGGGGTTCCTTCCAGGGCTAGGAGCCTTTTCTGCTCTCAACTTGGAGGCTGCACAGGCCCCAGAGGAACCACCCAGGGCCTTCTGCACAGAAAGGCAGTTGAAAACTGCAGGTGGACCAGACCCACAGCCTTGCTTTTTGCACAACACAGAGAAGGTGGTGCTTTGCGCCAGCCCACAGTGGGACATATGGGGACACACATAAGCTTCCTTTCGTCCCACGTGTGCGCATGCCTGCATCTTCACATAGCTTTCAGGTAAATTCTAAAACAAAGCCACCTGGCCCCACGATCTTTGGTCATGAGGAGGAGCAGAAGCAGACTCGTGTTTGGGCCTGCAGAAGCCACACTCTGCAGCTCCACTGTCCTGTCGTCCCAGTGCCCAGAAGAGCAGAGACTGGACCTGTCGACAAGGGCCATGCTGTGTGGCGGTAACATGCAACTTCAATTTATTTATTTATTTATTGCCATTTATTTATTTATTTTTTTGGTGGCTGGCTGTTATCGGGATCTGAACTCTTTTTTTTTTTTTTTTTTTTCTTTTTTTTTTTTTTT